TACAATAATTATGGCTAATAAGTAATATTATGTTGACTTAAATTTCTACAATACTAATGAAAAGCTTAAACTAAGGTAATGTTCATCAACAGTCTTAGTGTTCTATAATGATTAGACACTATGTTCGCGTGTCCGAGATACCGCACTATGTATGTTACACTATGTTTTTTAGCACAAAAGGTTTAGTTCTCTTGAGGCGTGTTATTCTTGTTTATTATTTATTTAATTACAGAAATACATACTGTTGCAAACTAGGGAATCGGATAGAAAACGCCGTAGATCTCTTCAAGGGTTTATTTTTAAATAAATCAACGAGGAATTTAATTATACTAAAAAGCAGTAAATAACGCGTAGAAATACACTAATTACGCACACAAAATACTGTCATGTACGCTGTAACATGGTGCGGATGAGACTTGCGTAATTTTTCGTTTCACTCTTGAAAGTTACCACATTCGTGATATATTAAATCATTAATAACTGTAGTAACTTAAATTTAACCCAGCCAGAATGTTCTAGTCTATAAATAAAATCAAATTATATATAGTTAGTTACTTATACCTAGTATAAGTATAGTTACTTCAATTTCGCGCACTTCACATAGTACTTTATGCACTTGTCTTCACTATTCGCACTTTACCTCTTCGATGTTAATCTCGCACTCGATGGATTGACTTGATGGATCGCATTTAGGGTCGCTTGCACATCCTTGTTAATAATCTTGAATGATATTTGAGAACTTACTACGCAGGAGTGGTACTGAGTAGCTGATGTTCTCTCCTTATGCCACAATTCTAGAACGTACGCACTTTTTATCTCTTTCCCACATCGCTGCGTCCTAGTCGTACTAGAATGATCTCTCTGGCTTCGAGAAGATTCCCATCTACCCTCTCTATTGCGTATCATTTCGTCCTTGTTTTACACCTAAAAAGTTCACTCCAGAATATTACTTCATCAAAGGGATGTAACCAGTCCTTAAAACGCCTGAAAACTGTACCACTTGACTACACTTGCTCTGAAGCAATCTGGAAAAATGTTTCAGCCTCCTGAAAACGAGGGTGACATGCAAATTACCATTTTCTAATATGTGATTGACCCTGTCCCGAAACGGTCAGAAACCACGTTTCAGAAAACGTATTTTCTGAAAACGTCTCTTACTGGTGAAAAATCAAGAGAAACATTTCAATCAACCCATCGTTGTAACAATACATTACTATTTGACAACAACTTTGTCAGGTCGCCTCCATTATATATATTATATCATAACAGTGTTGCACTCCTCTTAAAGATCGAAAAGGACTCCCTCATTTCATTTATTCCACGTTTACATTCACTTACACTCCAAAAACATTCATTTAAGTTTACACTTGGACACACTCATAAACAAAATATTAGTTATAACCTATTACTCCACAAATTTATGAAAAATGATAGCTCAACAGCCTATGCAACGCTACAAAACCTGCACCAAAGAATCCTTATCACTGAAGACATCCTTGTTTGTATTCTTCAAACAAGGATCAAAATTCGATCAAACAAATGAAATATTAAAAGACCTTGATAATTTTACCGTAGCTTATTCCTCTAGTTGTGAAATAGAAGACTTCCAGACCTTAATTAAGCATCCTGAAAATTGTTTGAAAATAATTCACCAAAATATTCGAAGTATACATCGGAACTTCCCAGACTTATTAACACTATTAGATAGATCTAAAACTGAATGGGACTTTATTGTGCTCACTGAGTGCTGGCTACGCCACACAAATATAATTCCCCATATTGACGGATATTATCATGCCCTTACCGAAAACAACCTGACTCAAAATGAAGGCGTTATAGTTTACTTCAAAAATTGTCTGAACGTAAAAATATTTGAACCAAAAGTACTCGGATCTAATTGTCTTGTAATAAAAATAAATGACAATACTGCCGTCATTGCCATTTACAGACCGCCAGGATATAAAGACGTCTCCCAATTTATAGAGTCGCTAAACGAAATTCTTACCGATCTAAAATTATTCAGTCATAATTATTGGTGATATCAATATCGATATTATGCCTAAGGATGTGAATTCTCAATTTTATTTAAATCTACTTGCTTCTCATGGTCTGTTACCCGCACATACAATATCCACTCACTACAAGACGTGCCTTGATCATGTTTTTATAAAAAGTACTTTTTCTTCCGCTTGTTATGTAGTTGAATCATCTGTAACTGATCATGACAGCGTAGTTCTCATACTGGAAGACCAGCAATCTCACGAACAAAATAAGGACTTCATTCATAGTAAAATTGATTATGTAGGCCTAGATAACGATATGAAAAACCTTTGCTTTGAACCGATCTATCAGGTTTCAGATGCAAATGTTGCTACTTCTCTTCTTATCTCGGAGATTAATGCTAAAATAAATTCTAATACTCAAACTCACACCGTACCTAATCGCAAGAGGCTAAAGAAGTCTTGGATGACTGCTGGTCATCTAAGATGTGTACGAAATCGAGATAAACTCCATAAAAGATATAAAAAAGACCTGAACAATGAAATTAAGAAAATAACCTACAAAAGGTACAGAAATTTTTGCAACTGGCTCCTTAAAAAACTTAAGAGGGAGTATGAGGAGAAAGAGTTGTAAGCAGCGGCGAACACAAATAATAAAGCACTCTGGGACACCATTAGAAAATTGACGCATATATCAAAACTCAATAGACCTGCTGAGCAACTTATTTCCCCTGATAACCCCTCTAAATCGATCAATTATATTAATGAATTCTTTGTTTCTGTTGGTAAGGATCTTGCTGAAAAGGCATATTCCTATGGTAGGGGTTGTAAATCCTCAATGGCCAAGCCACTAGCATCCTTAGTTTTGGATAGTACCGATGAAAGTGAAGTTCGCAACTGTATTCTCAACCTAAAAAAAGGCAAATGTACTGGACGGCATAATATTTCAGGTGCTATATTAAAACGGTATCATCAAATAATAGTCCCACCATTGACATACGTTGTAAATTTGATTTTTTCCACAGGCGTTTTTCCGGATCAGCTTAAGCTGGCTGACATTGTTCCAATTTTCAAGAGTGGTGACAGAGAATGTGTCAATAACTATAGGCCTATATCTAAACTACCCACGATTGCAAAAGTAATAGAGAAACTCATAAACAAACGCCTTGTTCACTATCTTGAGACCAATAATCTCATTTCTAGCTCGCAATTTGGTTTTCGTTCCGGTAGTTCTACAAATGACGCCGTTCACGAACTTACTGATCACATTGTAGCCAAACTTGACCGAAAGCAAAAAGTTATAGCAATATTTTTGGACCTTGCTAAGGCATTTGACACAGTCTCTGTCCCACTTCTCTTAAACAAACTTGAATCTCTGGGTATCCGTGGTTCTCAATTGAGTCTTTTCCAAAGTTACCTTAAAAATAGATTTCAGAGGGTGAAGGTCGGTGACCTTGTAAGTAGTGACTTGCCAATAACTTACGGTGTCCCTCAGGGAAGCGTACTTGGCTCAACGTTGTTTCTGGCATTCATTAATGAGTTATGTAACCTCCAGTTGCCAAATGGTAAGATAATATCTTTTGCAGATGACACTGCCCTTGTATTCTCTGGCAACAATTGGAATGAGGTCTATAATTCTGCTCAGTCTGGTTTTGGCCTTGTTAATGAATGGTTGAGAGGGAACGGCCTTACGCTTAATGTTGATAAAACAAAATTTATGCCCTTCTCTATTAAAACATTCCCTCACACATTCATGATAATTTTTCTATCATAGCCCATACTTGCTCTTCAAATCAACTCTGCCATTGCAAAAGCATTTCCATTGCCTATAGTATTAAGTATTTGGGTGTAGTTATCGATAGTAACTTGAGTTTTAATTCTCACGTGGATCTTCTCTCTTGCAGAACTCGTAAACTCATTTATATCTTTAAAACTTTAAGACTTATAGCAGACAAAAAAATTATTAACGTAGTTTATCAGTCTTTATGTCAATCAATTTTAGGCTATTGTATCACTGTTTTGGGAGGTACTTTCAAAACCAATCTCCTAAAACTTGAAAGAGCCCAACGAGCAGTATTAAAAGTAAGTCACTCCTTGCCGCTTCTTTTTCCCACCAAAGAGCTTTATGCCCTAGCCGATGTATTAACAATTCGTCAATTATTTATTCTCAACACAGTTCTAAAACAACATCATAAAACTAGTTACGACCCCGATTTAAATATAAACAAGCGGATTAAACATAAAGTTTGCTGTTGTATTACAAAATGGACAACATCTTTCTCGCAAAGATTCTTTGGTTTCCTAGGCTGTTACTTGTATAATAAATTAAATGGAAAAATTAACATTTACCCACTACCCAAATATGAATGTAAAAAAAGGTTACTACTTGGCTGAAGACGTTGAGTTATGATGAAACAGAAGATCTAATAACTGTTATTCTGTAACACACCCACGCACACCACACACACTTAGACAGAGAGAGACACACACACACACACACACATACATACACACACACACACAAACACACAAAATTTATTTTTAAGACTCCGTTTGCAATGTTTTCTTTGAGCACTTAATACTTATTTTCTTCTATTGTATCTTATGACAATGACATGATTGTACGTGTTCCGGTCCGGTGTGGAGAGGCTGGCTATCTGTCACTCAGGTCTCCTGTTACAGAGACCAGTCTCTCACATACACTTCCTAATGTTATCATCTTAGTTTAATCATAAAATCCTTGTATGTATATGTGAGAGAAGAAAATAAAGATTATTATTATTATTATTATTTGTATATATACAGGTAGTCTTTCGTTTTATTTAATTAAAAAGAAATTAACTAGTAAAAATGCTAAGCGCAATACTAGAAGACGGCTGTACCAATGCGAGTACTTTTTTAAAACTATTCCTTGAACTCTGAAGAAGGTTTATATTGAAAGAAAATTGGAAAACAAGAAAAAAAATAAAATGAGTACTTAGGTTTTCCGGAAAAGTGAACATGCAACAGTCTTTATGGAGTAGCATAGCAAAATGCTCTATATGGTTTACATATAATTACGTTAAATTACAGTTTTTAGTATGCTACCCGTATCCCGTGGAGTGGGGAGAAAGTTATGCTCGTACCATGGTGCTGATGAAGTTCCTGGTCTACTACTCTCTTCCTCTGGCTGTCATCGCGTTGTTCTACGTGCTGATGGCCCGGCACCTCGTGTTGAGCACACAGAATGTACCAGGGGAGATGCAGGGCACACAGAGACAGGTCAGAAGTTTTTGAGTTAAAACTAAAGATGCTCTATATTTAATTGTAGCTAAACTAATCTACGTTTAAATATAATATAAATGATTACACAATTAATTATGAATGAAATACAGAAAACTAGAATAGCCTTGTTCATATTATATACAAATCTAAAACTTTAGATTTCCGAGACTTAGAGGGAGGGAAAAAGGAAGATATGTTAGGAATTTAATGAATTTAATTGTCACTAAAATATTAAAACACGTGGCATTTTAATTTACAAAATTCTTCATTTGAGATTTCAATAAATTATTTTGCATAAAATATAAAATACAAATATTTCATAAATTCTCTTTACGAAATTTTAATTTTAAAAATAGAATTCCTATAAGGTAATTCGCCCTTCTCACTCTCTCTCAATCGGTCTCCATCACTCTCTCCCTTTTCTCCCTATTAATGCGGTTCATCCGTAAAAATTTTACCCTCATGCACCTAAAGAAGTTCACTTCAAAAACTTAATACGGATATGGATTAAAGACATATTTTCTGAATAACTTAAAGGCGGAAACATACTACCAAAACGCGACGCTACACCACGCCATCCGACGCATGTCAGTACTTATAATAATAATTATTATTATTATTATAAGTACTGACATGCATATTATTATTATTATTACTTCTTTTGGCGCGTTAGGGAAAAAGATGAGAGTAAATTTTTACGATGCGCGCGCACACCGTCACAAAAAACCGACACCCTGAATTAAGCTATAAACAACATTTAGGTTTTTTCTATTGTTAGTGTCGTTTTTTCAACAAACGAAGAATACAATTTTTTAAAAGATTTTTATCTTGTTACTCTAAAGTAGGTATAACTTCTAACGTAGTACATGAATACACACAAGCTTTTTTTTAATTGTATGTGGTAGATATTGTATTTGAGATCACGATTCCAGCACCAACGATTGCGTCTCCCTGCCTGACGGGAATTGTCGCTACCCATAGTACCTAATCATATATTCAGCTAAGCATTAAAATACGTACGCAAATAAAATATTAGTTTACGTGCATATGCATCACTAACATTCCTCTCCCAAAGACCGGCATCACATTCTCCTTATTTTAAAAAAAAATCAAAGGTCTGATCAGTTATTTGTAGCTCTTGTGAAACAACTATATAATAATAATATTATATAATAATAATGTGCGGTCAACAACCCTTATAGGTTTATAGCGCTGCCTTTCAAAAATTTAATATACATATATGTATATGTCGCGGATTCGAAGCGACATATAGGTATGTATATTAAATTTTATTAGCCTTTACAAGTTTTTACAAGTTTTATTTTTGTGATGACATCGTGTTAATTACATACATTATCGTGACATATATTTTTAAAAGTGATAATGAATTTGTGAAAGTTATAGCGCCTACGATATACCTGGTTCTCCCTTTTATTACCCCTTAATGTTTATTTGACTGCCAGGGTCACACAAATCCGGCACTTCACCTAATGAAGAAATACGAAACACTAATAAAGGATCGGTGATCGAAAATAAGTCTGGAATCACTGTATTGGAAACTTCCACGTGTTCCTGTAACGATTTTCGCGTTGACTGAAATAGGAGGCGCATTACTAAAGCATTGTTTGACGACTCATTGGTCTAGTGGTTAGTACCCTTGACTGCGAATCCATGGGTCCCGGGTTCGATCCCCGGCTGAGACAAACATCGATGTGATGAGCATTTGGTGTTGTATTTGGGTCTTGGGTGTTTAAATATGTCTATCTATCTATAATATGTATGTATATCCGTTGCCTAGTACCCATAACACAAGCTTCACCAGCTTAGCATGGGACTAGGTTGGTGTGAATTGTCTTTAAAAAAAAAATTGTTATGATTAAAAAGCTAATTCCGTTCAGATATCAATACGAAGCAATATAATATATAACGGCTTCAGCGTGCGACTCTCATCCCTGAGGTTCGATCCCCAGCTGTGCACCAATAATGTAATAGTGTAATGTCCTTGGACAGTTCAAGGGGATTACGAAGAATTTGTTAAATAGAGATAGGATACTTCGTTAATTATTATTATACCCGCTTTGTGAATTATTTTAGACGGTTAATTATATTCTTTCTTCCACAAGCAACAGAAACACTAAATGTTTTCCTATTTAGCTTTTCGTAAAACAAAGGTTTTATTAACTTAAATTAAACATACAAACACAGTCTTTGTGTTTGTGAGATTGCGTCATAGTCAAATTGATAACATTTATCTGTAGGCATTTTTACTCAATGATAAGATACATATATAATATAATTCCATAAGAGTTCGGCAAACACGATATATGACATTCATTTATTTTTCACATAGACTTTGTTCCTATTTTTATAACCAAAGACAAATACTTATATGTATCGCATGGAATTGAACAAGAAGAGATTCGTCCGTATACCATGTGTCACTATGTTATAATAGATTAATGATGAATAAAACTCAAATGTGTTGCTGAAATATGTATTTTAAGAAACAACATTAAGAGTTTATTATTTTACTAGAAACAATGACTTTTATCCTATTTCTTTCATAATACAAAATGTTGTAACAAAAACTTTTCGAATTAAAATTTAAATGACGGACCAAAACTAGCGTCGTTTCAACAGACTAACAAACAAATTAAATGAAACATCAGTTAACACATAATAGATAATTAATAATCTGTAATGTAATAAATATAATTATTTCTTTACATAGGTATGCATACTCAGGCATATAAAAACTTATTTATAAGACGTAAATGCTTTTAGTGTTTACATAATTTTGTCTTGTGTTGAGTCTAGTTAAAGGATAGTTTGGAAAATCCAAAAGTGCACGCCTCATAGCGGTCATTCACATTAAAAAAAAATTAAAAAAAAACTCAAGTTTTTTAAAACAAAATAACAAATAAACTATTATCTTTAAGTCTCACGCTACGAAGAATATTTAAACATACAGATTTAGTGGCGCCATAACTCTAAGGTGAGGAACAGTTGTATTTTAGTTTTTTACAAATTATAATTAAACGACAGAACGCTAATATTAACTAGGAATCAGCCCAGGGTATAACTTTATATAATAAGAAAAAAAGTATTCTGGTACGATAAATTTTTCGACCAATTTCTCTGCCACATACATGGATCCATAAACACAGACTGACGGACGTCCAAGAATGATTGATTTTAATGTTATTATTTACTATGTTAAACAAAATAATTGTTCATAAAAAATACCATATGTGCTTGATAGATTATTTAACTCGATTTTAGTGCACTCATATTATCCTGTAAGTGTTATATTAGTGAGAAAAAAGTCATTCAAGTTTCGAAAGACTGGGTTTTTTGACATGTCGAGAGTAGAGCACTGCGAGGCGTGCAATAATTGGTAAGGTTACATGATTTTAGACAATACATCGCAATCCTAATAACATTAAACGCTAATTAAAGATTTAAGTTGGCGTCCGGTAGATAGTACCGGTGACCCCAGAGCTGGTGCTTTCCTCGCTCAACGAAAAAGTATCGCAATACAGCGAGAAAATGCTTCTAGCTTTAAAGGTACACTGTACACCACAGGGTTAAAATTTATTAAATTATTTTGAATGATATACAGCTAACGTTAAGGTTTAATTATATGATTAGCTTTGAGTTTTATATAATTTGTGTCACCTGTCAAGGTTGGTGGACTCAGTTTCCGCACTTAGACTCTCATTAGGTCCGTTGTGCGTAGTCCTGGATAACTAAGCCAGTTTAGCTTCTTCCAAAAGCACAGAAGTCTCTAGGGCACTTCGCAGGCTTCACGACCTCAGTGCTCCGAGGATTTCTGTATATTAGCTGTAAGATTAAAATAAATCAGTGGCGCTACAACCTCTTTAGGTCTTGGCCTCAGATTTCTAAATCTGTTTCATGATCATTTTTAAATCTAATAGGCAAGTAGGTGATCAGCAAGGCACAGGAAGCCTGAGCACCTTCGACTTTTTGGGTCTAAGACATGTCGGTTTCCTCACGATGTTTTCCTTCACCGTTCGAGCAAATGTTAAATGCGCACATAGAAATAAATTCATTGGTGCACAGCCGGGGATCGAACCTACGACCTCAGGTATGCGAGTCGCACGCTGAAGCCACTAGGCCAACACTGCCCTTCTGAGCTGTAAGATTACGAAATAAATAAATATCCGTATCGCTAGTCGCCGTAGTTCAAAAACTTAACATTGAAGTTCGAGATACGAGTGCGTATTCAATCTCTTGAGGTTTAGACTTCACGATCATTTTACTTAGGTATTCCCAAATGTAGCAAAATATATTTTGTGCCGAGAAAGAAGGAATTGATTTTATAAATATTAAAGATATCTTTAATGCGCTACATGTATGCTGATGATAATGCGATAGACTTATCTAATAATGGGGCATGGAGCGGACTTAGTTGCTTGTTTATTTTTATAGTTAAGTCGGTGGCTGTGACATGACCTTGATTTAAAGGTTCCAGACACACCAAACTCAAAATCGAACGCATAATAAACATAACAAAGTGGCGCTAACTTTGCTTTTGGCGTCGCATTATATTCAGTCTTCCGTCTCAGACGGTATTTTCATTCGAACGAATATTGCGCATATCGAAAATTCTTTATTTTTACTGACTCTAGGAGTCAGATACCTATAAAATAATGATTCAAATTTACCACAGACAATGTAATAATGTACTCCACTGTAGCGACATCTACGTATACAATCCGAGGCTACAAGCATGAAATAAGAGTAAAAAACCGCTTTCACCGAGGGAGGCGTGGTCTTTTTTACTACGTACTTCGCTCACTCCAGTAGAATCCTTCCTTCAGACCATCCCTCGATGGCCCAAGCCAAAGTCAGAGTCTCGCAGGAGACGCCCTTGCACTAGTCACGGGATAAATCCCATTCCGGCCGAGTTACACTCGCCAAAACAGCCTGAGCTGAGCTGTCCAGGCTCTTCAGTCCAACAGCGAGATTCCGTA